TCCGTTGCGTGTCGCTTCGCGTTGAATTTTCGTCGATGTTAAGCCTAACGAAGACTATTGTATCGTTAAAAATTATTTTTTTATTTTGTACAAACAAAATAAATATATTGAAAAATATAAAAACAATAAAAAATTATACTTCAGAAGTTAATTTAGTATCAAAAACGTAAACTATTTGAGTAGCCCAAGACATAGCCAAAGATTGCAGCGCCACAGCACTGACGAAAATTTAAATTTGCCGACTGGAATTCTTTCGGATGATTGACTTTCGGATAATCGACTCTCTACTGTATTATTATTTTGTTTGTGTACTTTATAAAAGCGCATTTATTATATAAAACAGAATAAACCACACACGCGTATTATTGCATAAAGTGGTTATAAATTATTATAGGCATAATTTTCTAAAAAAATTATCATCATAAGCTATCAATATATTCATTATCTACAAATCATAATCGTAAGAATTTTTGAATATGATTCGTGGACTGAATATTAAATTAAATTCAAATAAATCATAAGAAAGAATAAATTATTTAAATATTGTTTTATTAATAACTTGTAAATATACTGTTTGTAAATATCTTACTTAAGTACTTTTTAACTCGTATGAAACCATTATATAATATTTTCAATCAGACATTCACAATTGGTAAAAACAGAACATAAGTATATCAAAATCTTGCATATAAAATCGTTGATCCGTAGATTTTGCCGAAAGTCTTATCACAGGAATGTAAAAAAATTTATGGCCCACATATTTTTTTATAGATGTTTGATACAAACTTTATGTATCTTCATTATTTTGAATAGTATCCTTGCTTTCAATATCACTTTCAGTTTTTCTTAACGAATTCAATTCTTCTGTCTCTTCTAATGTGTTTAGATCCGTGGCTGTAGGCCTATTTTTAGCCTTAAAATAGTATAAATTGTCAGTAAAACTTAATAAAGTGGGTAAAACAACCAACGCGTGAATAGATGCCAAAATCATCACTATAAAAACAATTTTAAAGAAAATAATAAAGGAATAAGATTTCGCTAATATCAAAAAGAATATTCCCAATATAGTACTTGTCGCACCTTGTACTACGGGCATTCCAACAGAAAAGAGTGAATAACGTATTTTCTCTTTACTGGTTGCATAATCGCAAGATAAATACGCGTAAGATATATGCGAAACAAAGTCTACGGAAAATCCTACACACATGATAAGGGACATAAGGGCTAGGGCGTCCAGATTTACATTCCAGTAACTCATTAAACCGATAACACCCACTTCGATGGACACAACCGAAAAAGAAACGAACAGAGCACATTTTATATTCGGTATGAAGGCGAAGAAAGTGATCACCATGATGGCTGCTGCGGATGCCACCGTCTGAATAGAAATATCTCTGACGTATAGGAGTTGTTCTATTATAGGGAATAACAGACTGTATATTATCACAGGGAATTCGCTTTCGTCGGCAATTTTATACAGCTCAATTAACATATTCTTTTCTTGAATGGAGTTACGTATATTTTTAGAATGGACGATAAATCTAGTTGCTACTATATCCGTGTGATTTTCATTGAATATCACATCAGTAGATAATTTTTCAAATATATTAAACCGAAAAAATATCTTCAGTCCTTCGATGAAATCTTGTTTATTCGATATATTATAACCTCTAAAAGATAACCATCCTTGAGGTGACTTTACTACCGTTTTGTAGATTCTGGAAAAGAATATAAAAAATAAAGATTTACATTAATAACTGAGAGAAAAATTTTAAAACAATGTATATTTTTATTTTTAAAAATTGCTGATGTATAATATCAATAGCTACAGTAGGGTGGCCCTAAAGTCCGTGTGAAGTTTTTTAATTCAATAAATAAAGACACGCAATACAAATGTTAAAACGATTCTATAACTTATATTTTGAAGATGTTTATCTGTTGATTTTATCAATGTAGAACGAATTAATTATATTTACGGATCTCGTTAGTGACTTTAAATGGTGACAATCGAAGAGAAAATAATCTGCATGTTTTGACTTACAGTCAATAGCAACCGTTGGGAAAAATCACATCTTTGAAGATGTAATAAATTTTAGAAATTTTATATTAATAAATTGAGAGTTCTATTGAAATCTCTTATTGTGGGCAGTTATCACACACAATCCAGCCAGTCTGTTGTCTCCTATCGTAGATCGATTGCGAGTCTTGACTCCGCCTTACACTCACTGAATAAACGTTTAATAACTTACAACGTGTTGTTAGAAAAGTCAACCAAATCTTAATTGCCTCGGCTACAACTGGGTAAAGGATTTTTGCCCGAAAAATCAGGTCCGCTTAATCGAAGAATCCGTGGGCCCGTTTCATTCTTCTACATCCGGCCACTGGTGGAAGAATGGATAAAAGAGTGGATAAAATCTCAGAACATGGGTTCGCAATTCTCAAACGGACTGGCTACGTGGAGTTTTCCGGGTTTTCTCAACATGTTTAACAAGAAAGTTCTCACGGAAGTTCTCACGGAAGGCACCTTTTCCTTGGCAGATCGCCCACGTTTGCGTTGCCATATCCCTTCTGAGCAAATCATTCTTTCAAACCTCGAACCGTGTGGTGTAAAAACTTTGACAAAGTTCTTCCGTACTTTCAATGTCTTTGGCCATTCCAAGAAAGTGCTTTTTGCTCAGATTTTCGTAGCAGCTGGATCCAGTTGCATAAGCAATATGCTTTATTAGGAGGATAATTTCATCTTTGAATCTGTCTTACATCTAACAAGAAAGTTTTAACCCTACACCCAGAATAGTTTCATTGTGCACCGAAATTGTGCAATTTCCAAAATGAATCCTGCCGGTGCCACCGAATATAATGATTGGCGTATGTAAAATTTTAGAAAGAAGAAACCTTTTACTGAAATATGTATTTAAAAAACAAACTCTTGTAGAAATTAACACATCGAAACTCTTTAATTTAATGTTTCCAAAGATAAGTTTACCGGTACAAGTCGTCAATAGTTTATGTGTTGAACTAACTTTGTGAAGTGTTTGAAACGAAATGAACGTATTTAGCCACCTTTTATATTGTATTATTTCGTTTGGTTGTATATACAGTATGTACTGTACTTTTTTCCCTACTTGGATGAATTATATTTTCAGTAGTACGTTACAAGTGCTCCTTCTTTTTCCAACACTTCGTTTGTCATTTTTGCAGCTAATTAAAGTGAGGGATTTCGAGTCGAAAATCACTTTTATAAAGGAATGTAATACTAATTAAATCATTGAAATAATCTGCTAATAAATTTAGCATTTTGAAAATGCATTTCTGTATTAATAGAAAAAAATATATATAATTTAAAATTATATAATGAGATATTATTTTATTTGTATTTACCTGAGCCACGATTCCGTAAATTCTCTTCCAGCAGAAAATGAAGTGTTTTCAAACTTTTGCAATAGATTTTCTACTTTCTCTTGAATAACAGGATTCGAATAATCTAATGTTTTGTTTATGATAATTTGAATTCGATGAGGATAATCTGTGAAATAACGATAATGCCAATCCATATATTTCCAACCGTACGATTCATATTGAAAGATGTTTCTGTAATCCATTCCTTCTTTGATGCTGTAACATCCATAAATAGAACATCCCAAATAGGTAAAAAACACGAAAAGAACAATACTCTTGGAATGTTTATTGGTCAATAGCTTAGAGAAATAATCACGGAAAAATATCATCGGCCATACTATCTCGCTTCTCTTGTCTGAGTCGTCGCCGTAACAAAATAACGTATAAAGGCGATTCTTGCTGTCTGAAAAAAATATATATACCGTAAGTTTATGACATTTTGCAAGTATTTAGTTAATGAAAAATCATACCCGCTTCTATCTTAGAAACAGTTGGCTGAAATGTTAATGGATGCAATTTTTTCTTTTCTCTGTAACCGCTAAGGGCGAGGCAAGCACCGAAGAAAGTTATCTCGTAAATATAACAAAATAAAATGGAAGTTAAAGCATAAATAGAATAAATTTGAGTAATTTTGAATGGTGTAACTATGCCCACACAGAATGATAAAAAATTAGTCACAGAAGTGAGAGTTATAGATACAGCGGCTTCGGAGAATGTTTCGCCCATTCTCTGTTCTACAGAATTCTTCGAATTTGTTCTCCTCCAACAAGCAATCAAGACAAACGAATCATCGATTCCAATTCCTAAAAAATAAAGTAAAAAATACTGCGATATTATATTTTCAGAAGGAAGAAAATAAAGAGAAACAATGCCGTAAATATATATATAAGAATTAATTTTAAAGACAAAACTTACCTAACATTAGAAATGGTACGGACAACACAACATCTACGTAGGGCACTCCACACATCATGACGAAACCAAAAGACGCCACAACACACAAGGAAGCAGAAATACCACTCGCCAATCCTAACCAGGGTTTACTCACAATCCAATTTGTGCTGAGACACGAAAATATGGAAAAAGAAAACACAATAAATCCTGCACACGAACAAAGTGGTAACACGCTTACGGTGATTTGAGTTAACTCGTCAGCTACCGAGAGTGAAGTGAAGAGAGATAACTCGATATGTTTAAACTTCATCTTTTTCAGCTAGATAAAAAAGAAAATTAAAAAGAAACATATGATATATATTCAGATATTTATAAAAAAAAATTAATTTTATATACAAAATTAATCATTGAAAACTCGATTATTCGAACTTGACGGAACCGGAGGTCTTTCGGATGATCCAGAAACTCGTTTGTTTCTGTGTTTTTGATACATTAAACACTATGAATTTAACGTTTCGGATTTAAGAGTAATAGTGTACGCAGTTACTGTATTTAAGATTAGTTGCAGAGCGTGCCATTAAACTTACAGAACTTATTAAGTAAATTGTTAATACCAGCAAACTTTTCAGAAACAAAAACAAAAAAAAAAAAAATAACTTAAAATATAATTGTAAAAGTGGCTATTAACAAAATTCATACAAATTATTGACGAAAAGGAATGTTTTTTTTTTTTTTTTTAAAAAAATACGGTATAGACTATCTGTTTTCCTCGCACACAAAGAATAACAGGAAAACGAATATATTTTCAGTAGATTTATTAATAGTAGATAATTATATAATTTGTCATCTATTCATTTTACAACAATTGTTTTAAAATTATATATATTTTCTATACATTATTATCAATAATCATCTATTTAATTAATAAGAACGATAGCTTCTCGCTTCTCTTGTCATCTAAATAAAAGACAATTAGAAAATTTTAATTGTTTAGATAATTAAATTAGTTTTTTGTGTAAACTTTATTCTTAGTTTGTGTGTAAAAACATCCCAAAATCTTTCAAATTGTACAACGTTTGATGTTTGTAATAAATGTGTTTCATATATATTATGTGTGTGTGTGTGTGTGTGTGCACGATTTTACTCACCCTGTTTGAAGCTTAATAATTCCGTGCTTTTTGTCAAAATTTTCTGAAATTTTGCAGCGATATTTGTTTATGAGAGGGATTGATGCTATTCAATTTTAATGGTTAAAGGTCGAGGGAACGGGGAGATAAAAGGGGATCGTGTGTCGTATCTCGAATGGGGTCTGACTTAATAAAGATTTTACTCGTTATTAGCATTTACCATTTTTTATAAACTCATTCCTACCCTCAAAATTAAACTTTTTGCCATTTTATAATAGTTCAAAATATAAAAAAGATCTTTCTAATAAAATATCGTAACAAAAGGAGCAACCAAATTGCCGGAAAAGTTAAGCAACTCGTTGCTGGAATTTTAAATATTTAAGCTTAGAAATGAATATCTGACAGCGTTGGTTAATTAATGTTAATTTTCAGATAAAAAAAAATTAATGATTGAATTTCTCGTACTGAAAATTAACAAAACTGATTCGAACATTTATATAGGTCGTGTCAAAAGTCTCTTGTACCCCTTCCATTCAAAAAGTAATGGCGATATATTAATTTTGTTAATATAGTTACATAGGAAGTCGTGTGTGAAGAATAGGATGGGACATTTTTGTTGACCTTAAAAATGATTTTCAAGGTGTAATTTTTCAACGAGTAGACGTAACGTGAACCTTTCAAGGACAAAGTTAAAAAGCAGTATTTAATTGATCTTAAATCATTTACTGGATTCAAATAAATATACATTAAACTATATACAGTAATACCCAGAACTTACGCGATAGGTGGGACCGAGCGGTAACCTCGTAAGTCGGAGTATAATTTCGCATATAAATACATACAAATAATTTTTAATTGGGGCCGGAGACTAAAGAAAACAATAATTTAGAAAAAAAAATGTTTAATAAAATCTTAGATAATACATATGTATAACAAATTAGGCCTATATTATTTTACAATTTTTCACATTTACTTGATTATTACGCCATAATTTTAACATTGTTTCCATCTCAGCGATAATACTGTGACGTTTACGAATGATGCTTGAATTTAAAGATTGAGCATTTTTCACAGCTTCGAGAATTTTTTCTTTGCCTTTTATAATTGTTCTGACCGACAATTCCGGTAGATCAAACTTCTTTGCCAATTCACAAATTTTCATTTTTGTATCGAAGTCTTTAATAATGGGTACGTTCGTAAAGTCAAACGAGTTAAACGCGTTAGTAACGAATCGTTCGAAAAGTCTAACGAAATAGGAATAACGATGACGTCATTCTCGTTTAACTCGTTCGACTTTACGAACGTACCCAATGTTAACTTTACATTCCAAAGATAAAGTTTTTCTTTTCTTGTTTGATGCGGAAGAATCAGTTCTACTTTGTTTGGATGACATAGTAGAGTCTCTCGAGTCTCCGTAGATATAACACAGAAATAAATAACACAAAATAAATTATAGCTATGTGTGGATTCCGAGCGACACGTCCGAACATATAAGCCGAACAATAGTGTGGGGAGAGTGAGTAATCATTGGCGCTCAAAAGACGAATCGACGAGATTTGAAAATCGCGTAACTCCGGGTTCGCGTAAGTCGAGGTATTACTGTAATTTATCAATCGAGGAAAATGTAAATTTTTTCGGAGTATTTGCCGAAAATCATAAAGAATTCTTCTATTCGTAAGTGTATAGCCTAATACAATGCATAGATATTTCTTAGACATTCGAAATAAAGTTAATATTAAACTATAGAAATATCTACAGGATAAGTAGGAGGAAAAAAATTAAACAATAATTCGAAGAAATATTGCATATGTTTGATGATAACTTGTCGAACACGTTTTCATTTCTAGCCACTATGCCCCACGGCTGTAATTATCCTTCGTGTGAATTAAATAGTAATTAACTTATAAATATATATATACATATATAGTTATTCTCTATAATTTATATGAAGAATAAATTTTTACANGGCGAAAATTTAAATTTGCCGACTGGAATTCTTTCGGATGATTGACTTTCGGATAATCGACTCTCTACTGTATTATTATTTTGTTTGTGTACTTTATAAAAGCGCATTTATTATATAAAACAGAATAAACCACACACGCGTATTATTGCATAAAGTGGTTATAAATTATTATAGGCATAATTTTCTAAAAAAATTATCATCATAAGCTATCAATATATTCATTATCTACAAATCATAATCGTAAGAATTTTTGAATATGATTCGTGGACTGAATATTAAATTAAATTCAAATAAATCATAAGAAAGAATAAATTATTTAAATATTGTTTTATTAATAACTTGTAAATATACTGTTTGTAAATATCTTACTTAAGTACTTTTTAACTCGTATGAAACCATTATATAATATTTTCAATCAGACATTCACAATTGGTAAAAACAGAACATAAGTATATCAAAATCTTGCATATAAAATCGTTGATCCGTAGATTTTGCCGAAAGTCTTATCACAGGAATGTAAAAAAATTTATGGCCCACATATTTTTTTATAGATGTTTGATACAAACTTTATGTATCTTCATTATTTTGAATAGTATCCTTGCTTTCAATATCACTTTCAGTTTTTCTTAACGAATTCAATTCTTCTGTCTCTTCTAATGTGTTTAGATCCGTGGCTGTAGGCCTATTTTTAGCCTTAAAATAGTATAAATTGTCAGTAAAACTTAATAAAGTGGGTAAAACAACCAACGCGTGAATAGATGCCAAAATCATCACTATAAAAACAATTTTAAAGAAAATAATAAAGGAATAAGATTTCGCAAATATCAAAAAGAATATTCCCAATATAGTACTTGTCGCACCTTGTACTACGGGCATTCCAACAGAAAAGAGTGAATAACGTATTTTCTCTTTACTGGTTGCATAATCGCAAGATAAATACGCGTAAGATATATGCGAAACAAAGTCTACGGAAAATCCTACACACATGATAAGGGACATAAGGGCTAGGGCGTCCAGATTTACATTCCAGTAACTCATTAAACCGATAACACCCACTTCGATGGACACAACCGAAAAAGAAACGAACAGAGCACATTTTATATTCGGTATGAAGGCGAAGAAAGTGATCACCATGATGGCTGCTGCGGATGCCACCGTCTGAATAGAAATATCTCTGACGTATAGGAGTTGTTCTATTATAGGGAATAACAGACTGTATATTATCACAGGGAATTCGCTTTCGTCGGCAATTTTATACAGCTCAATTAACATATTCTTTTCTTGAATGGAGTTACGTATATTTTTAGAATGGACGATAAATCTAGTTGCTACTATATCCGTGTGATTTTCATTGAATATCACATCAGTAGATAATTTTTCAAATATATTAAACCGAAAAAATATCTTCAGTCCTTCGATGAAATCTTGTTTATTCGATATATTATAACCTCTAAAAGATAACCATCCTTGAGGTGACTTTACTACCGTTTTGTAGATTCTGGAAAAGAATATAAAAAATAAAGATTTACATTAATAACTGAGAGAAAAATTTTAAAACAATGTATATTTTTATTTTTAAAAATTGCTGATGTATAATATCAATAGCTACAGTAGGGTGGCCCTAAAGTCCGTGTGAAGTTTTTTAATTCAATAAATAAAGACACGCAATACAAATGTTAAAACGATTCTATAACTTATATTTTGAAGATGTTTATCTGTTGATTTTATCAATGTAGAACGAATTAATTATATTTACGGATCTCGTTAGTGACTTTAAATGGTGACAATCGAAGAGAAAATAATCTGCATGTTTTGACTTACAGTCAATAGCAACCGTTGGGAAAAATCACATCTTTGAAGATGTAATAAATTTTAGAAATTTTATATTAATAAATTGAGAGTTCTATTGAAATCTCTTATTGTGGGCAGTTATCACACACAATCCAGCCAGTCTGTTGTCTCCTATCGTAGATCGATTGCGAGTCTTGACTCCGCCTTACACTCACTGAATAAACGTTTAATAACTTACAACGTGTTGTTAGAAAAGTCAACCAAATCTTAATTGCCTCGGCTACAACTGGGTAAAGGATTTTTGCCCGAAAAATCAGGTCCGCTTAATCGAAGAATCCGTGGGCCCGTTTCATTCTTCTACATCCGGCCACTGGTGGAAGAATGGATAAAAGAGTGGATAAAATCTCAGAACATGGGTTCGCAATTCTCAAACGGACTGGCTACGTGGAGTTTTCCGGGTTTTCTCAACATGTTTAACAAGAAAGTTCTCACGGAAGTTCTCACGGAAGGCACCTTTTCCTTGGCAGATCGCCCACGTTTGCGTTGCCATATCCCTTCTGAGCAAATCATTCTTTCAAACCTCGAACCGTGTGGTGTAAAAACTTTGACAAAGTTCTTCCGTACTTTCAATGTCTTTGGCCATTCCAAGAAAGTGCTTTTTGCTCAGATTTTCGTAGCAGCTGGATCCAGTTGCATAAGCAATATGCTTTATTAGGAGGATAATTTCATCTTTGAATCTGTCTTACATCTAACAAGAAAGTTTTAACCCTACACCCAGAATAGTTTCATTGTGCACCGAAATTGTGCAATTTCCAAAATGAATCCTGCCGGTGCCACCGAATATAATGATTGGCGTATGTAAAATTTTAGAAAGAAGAAACCTTTTACTGAAATATGTATTTAAAAAACAAACTCTTGTAGAAATTAACACATCGAAACTCTTTAATTTAATGTTTCCAAAGATAAGTTTACCGGTACAAGTCGTCAATAGTTTATGTGTTGAACTAACTTTGTGAAGTGTTTGAAACGAAATGAACGTATTTAGCCACCTTTTATATTGTATTATTTCGTTTGGTTGTATATACAGTATGTACTGTACTTTTTTCCCTACTTGGATGAATTATATTTTCAGTAGTACGTTACAAGTGCTCCTTCTTTTTCCAACACTTCGTTTGTCATTTTTGCTGCTAATTAAAGTGAGGGATTTCGAGTCGAAAATCACTTTTATAAAGGAATGTAATACTAATTAAATCATTGAAATAATCTGCTAATAAATTTAGCATTTTGAAAATGCATTTCTGTATTAATAGAAAAAAATATATATAATTTAAAATTATATAATGAGATATTATTTTATTTGTATTTACCTGAGCCACGATTCCGTAAATTCTCTTCCAGCAGAAAATGAAGTGTTTTCAAACTTTTGCAATAGATTTTCTACTTTCTCTTGAATAACAGGATTCGAATAATCTAATGTTTTGTTTATGATAATTTGAATTCGATGAGGATAATCTGTGAAATAACGATAATGCCAATCCATATATTTCCAACCGTACGATTCATATTGAAAGATGTTTCTGTAATCCATTCCTTCTTTGATGCTGTAACATCCATAAATAGAACATCCCAAATAGGTAAAAAACACGAAAAGAACAATACTCTTGGAATGTTTATTGGTCAATAGCTTAGAGAAATAATCACGGAAAAATATCATCGGCCATACTATCTCGCTTCTCTTGTCTGAGTCGTCGCCGTAACAAAATAACGTATAAAGGCGATTCTTGCTGTCTGAAAAAAATATATATACCGTAAGTTTATGACATTTTGCAAGTATTTAGTTAATGAAAAATCATACCCGCTTCTATCTTAGAAACAGTTGGCTGAAATGTTAATGGATGCAATTTTTTCTTTTCTCTGTAACCGCTAAGGGCGAGGCAAGCACCGAAGAAAGTTATCTCGTAAATATAACAAAATAAAATGGAAGTTAAAGCATAAATAGAATAAATTTGAGTAATTTTGAATGGTGTAACTATGCCCACACAGAATGATAAAAAATTAGTCACAGAAGTGAGAGTTATAGATACAGCGGCTTCGGAGAATGTTTCGCCCATTCTCTGTTCTACAGAATTCTTCGAATTTGTTCTCCTCCAACAAGCAATCAAGACAAACGAATCATCGATTCCAATTCCTAAAAAATAAAGTAAAAAATACTGCGATATTATATTTTCAGAAGGAAGAAAATAAAGAGAAACAATGCCGTAAATATATATATAAGAATTAATTTTAAAGACAAAACTTACCTAACATTAGAAATGGTACGGACAACACAACATCTACGTAGGGCACTCCACACATCATGACGAAACCAAAAGACGCCACAACACACAAGGAAGCAGAAATACCACTTGCCAATCCTAACCAGGGTTTACTCACAATCCAATTTGTGCTGAGACACGAAAATATGGAAAAAGAAAACACAATAAATCCTGCACACGAACAAAGTGGTAACACGCTTACGGTGATTTGAGTTAACTCGTCAGCTACCGAGAGTGAAGTGAAGAGAGATAACTCGATATGTTTAAACTTCATCTTTTTCAGCTAGATAAAAAAGAAAATTAAAAAGAAACATATGATATATATTCAGATATTTATAAAAAAAAATTAATTTTATATACAAAATTAATCATTGAAAACTCGATTATTCGAACTTGACGGAACCGGAGGTCTTTCGGATGATCCAGAAACTCGTTTGTTTCTGTGTTTTTGATACATTAAACACTATGAATTTAACGTTTCGGATTTAAGAGTAATAGTGTACGCAGTTACTGTATTTAAGATTAGTTGCAGAGCGTGCCATTAAACTTACAGAACTTATTAAGTAAATTGTTAATACCAGCAAACTTTTCAGAAACAAAAACAAAAAAAAAAAAAACAACTAGACAGAATGAAACAAAATTTTTACAAATAAGCCTTGAAATGTCAGCTGTCAAAATATATAATGACAATATAGTTTAAAATAAAGTTGGCATGTAAAAATACAACTAAACAAGAGAAGAACAAACTATCACACAGGCGTTAATTATGTATAAATATTGTTATACAGTTGTCCCTCTATAGTCCGATGTTTTTTAATCCGACATGCTCAGTAGTCCGACGCACCTCCCATCAAGGTACCCGTCCCCGTTATGTGTCTGCTTGCACAGAAGCATGTTGCAATGTGAATCTCCCCATCCTATTTTTACACAATGACACACATTTCGTGTGTTTTATGTGAGCAGTTCTGTTCGAACAGTTGGAGTAGAGAATATTGTAAGTTATTGCTAGCAAAACAATGCGAAATATGTAATTATTTTCGGTAATCCGGACACTTTTGGTAATCTGACACACCTTTGGTCCCATACCTGTCGGATTATCAAG